GACTTCCCAAACTCCTCGTCCTCTAAGTGGCTTTGAGCCGTGGGCCGGGGCTCGGCAGCGGCACGGGCTGGTGTGCCGGTGCGGCCGGGATTGGCTGGGACTGGCGCGTGGGTCCTGCGGCCTGGAAGCTCCCATGCCAGAGCCAGCTCCAGCCCAGAGCCGGGAGTGCTCCGGCTCCGCCTGCCTGCACCCTGGCCCGTGGCCCTGGCACCGAGGGAGCCCGCTGCTCGGCACGTGCACCGTGCCTGGCCTCTGCTGCTGCTACTGGCTCGTGCCTGACTGCTGCCGGACCTCTGCCTGCGCCTGCCTTGCCCCCCGGGACTGGTGGCATCCTGTGTGGGACCCCTGCAGCATGGGGACAGTCAGCGAGCTCTGCGCCTCCAGTTTCCAGGCCTTCCTCTGCCCCTCGGTGGCTGCCAAGGCAGGTAGGAGCTGCGTGCCCCCCCTCCCCTCTGTGCTGCGGGGTCCCCATCCCCCAGCAGACACAGTGGTGCCCATGGCTCCAGCTCCATATGGCTCTAGCTCCATATGGCTCCTGCTGACAGCAGCACGTAGTGTCCTCGCTGTCTCCGCTGCCTCAAATTCCTTTGCCGCCTCCCCAGGCTCGTGCTCTGCAAGCACCAAGCCCCCGGCAGGATCAGACAGGCATGGGCCCCTTGCCTGGCATCTGCCTGTCGCTAAGCCAGTGCCACACTAGGATGGGGTTGTTTTGGGTAGGCCAAAGGGTGGCTGGATGGTCACAGGCAGTGTGGCCACAGCAGATCCTGCCCCAGCCCCTCACCCCTGCCCTGCGATGTGTGAGTGCTTGGCTGCCCTCACCATGGCAAGTGTCTGTGGCTGTGAGGGCACCTTGGGGTGGCACTATCCAAAGGGAATTCTGTGTGGGAAACCAGTGCCTGCCATGCGAGGGATGTGCTGAGGGCTGGCTGCCTGTGTGAGCTGCTGCTGTCTGTGGGTTCCTGCCTGGCTGTGGGACCGGCCAGCCCTGTGGCTGAGCAGCAGTGGGCTCTGCTCCTCCCGAGGCCTGGCATTGTGAGTGGTGCCGAGAGCAGATGAGGTGCCTGCCTGGCTGCACTCTTGGCACCTGCACGGTGTGCAATGCCTGTGGATGTGGCCGAGCCGGTGCTCACCTGGCCGTGCCAGGGGTCTGTGTGTGGGAGTGCTGGAGCCTGGAGCCACTAGGAGTGAGGCAACGGCTGTGGACAGGGGTTCCCTGCTGGCCTCTGGGTCGTTTTGTGGGAGTGCTGGGCAGGCTTGCACAAAAGTGAGACAAGGGCCCTGGGCCAGCAGCTTTGGAGGGTCTTTCTTGGAGCTGCCTGTTCTGAAACCCTTCTCCTGACGCACCTCGGCTGTCAGTGAGGAAGGACGGGGCTGACGCAAACCGGGGTGTGCACACAGCACCGTGAAAACAGGATGTGGTGCGGGGAGACGGGCAGGAAGTTCCTGGGGGCCCCGTGGGACCTCACCAAGGGGCACGGTGGGCAGCAGCACCCACAGCAGCACCCAGAGACCCTGGGCTTGTCTCCGTGGTCTGTCGGACCCCGAGGCCGTCGCCCCTCTGGTGTGGCACAGCGTGGGCCAGCAGCACGGCTGGCTGGTGCTGTGCCTCAGGGGGCCAAAGGACATCCTGAGGCTTCTGAAGCCTGCCCTCCCCTCACTCCATAGCTGGCGTTCCTGGTGCTGTGCTGTGTCTCCATCTCGTGCTGCTGAGCAGGATTTAGCTGAGTCAAGGCGGCTGAGGCTGATGCGGCCTCTCCAGGCGGCTGACAGGGGACAGGGACAGGCTGGGTTCTCTTCCGCTGCAGCCACGGCACCACAAGGCCCGGATTCGCTGCAAAGGGGTCCTGCATGGAGCAGTGGGGTCCCTACAGGCACTCTGGAGCAAGGGGGCTGCCATGGACCCTGTGGACCAGTGGTCCCCACAGCTGGCACAGGACCTGGACCTGAAGTGGGGGCGGGTCTAGTGGAGATGGGGGAGCTGCAGGGCAGCGCTGGGGGTCTTTTGGGGTGGGGGGCCCAGCTGGCAGAGGGGAAGGGAGGGGACCCTTCATTGTGCGGCGATCTCAAGATGTGTTGGGTTGAGTGTCCTGGCAGCCCCCGAGGAAGGAAGGGCTGGGCCAGCCCCGAGGCCTGTCTGGCTGGGACCCCAGCACATCGAGTCCTCCAGCCCCGGGCCAAGGAGGGGCAACAGGGCCCTGCTTCCCTGTCCAGCCGGGAGCAGAGGAGTTAAGGTGCTGGCGACTCTGGCTCATGGCAGCAGGAAGAGGGTGTTGGTGGTGCTGGCTCCCGGCGAGGCTGGGATGACGCCCAGGCGGCCCTGGAGCTTATTGGTGCCGTGGCCCTGAGTCACCGCGGAAGCACTGGGGCGGCAGGTGCCCGCACCCGGCACGGCAGCACCTCTGCGGAGCCACCGGCAGCACAGGCACGGCCAGCAGGGCCAGTGTGAGGCCCTTCAGCGATGGTGCTCAGGGCGGAGGGCAGCGGTGAGCTGGGGTGTGGGGGTGAGGGGCGTGGGTGGCTCTGTGTCTGCCCCACTCCCCTGCTGCCAGCCCTGCCCACGGGCCTCGGGGCAGTGGACACAGCAGACAGGACAGAGCGTGGGGCGAGCACAGCCCCTGTGCCACAGGGCTTTGCTTTGGCTGCGGTGGGGAGGGGGCATGTGCTGTGGCTGCTGCTCCAGGGCGCTGCAGACCACAGCAAACCCGGAGCCTGAGACAGGTGGATAAATCCTGCCGGTGGCCCTTACTGCTCCTGGGCAGGGTCCTCAGGCTCAGCTGCCGGCAGCAGGAGATGTGGGAGCCCCTGGTCCCCTGTGCTGGTGGGGAGCCCTAACCCTGCTTAGAACCCCACGTCTGGTGGGTCACTGTGCGACTCCTGCCAGGCTGAGGCTGGGGGAAGCGCATGCTCCAGCCTCCCCATCCGTCAACACTGCTCTGCTCACAGCCAGGCCTGCTGGGGCTCCCCAAGGTGAGTGCTGTGCAGAGCCAGGGAAGGGTTAATGCCTTCTTCCTTCCCTAGAAAAGCTCCTGCGTCTGGGGTTTCTCTTCCTCTGGCTGCTGCTGACATGGCTGGGCCGCTGTCACGAGTGCTCAGCCTCCGCTTGGGAGGGACCTTCCGGGGCTCCGGAGCAGCCCTGACATCCCTCCTGCAAGGCAGCGTCTCATCCTGCGCCGTGCCTGCCCTGGGGCCACCAGGACCCCTGCCGGGACCCCCACCCGCTCCCAGGTGGGCAGGGGGAGGCAGCGCCGAGGGCTCCCCTTGGCCCAGCTCCAGCCCTGGCACTGAATTTGACCTTCCCTGCAGCCAGACAGAAGGGTCCTGCAGCCAGGTGAAAGGGTCCTGCGGCACATGCAGCAGCCCAGGGATTTGGGGGGTTCTGTGTCTGACAACGCAGCTCATCCCTCCTGCAGTGAGCCTGGGCTTGCTGGGCACGCTGGGGGCTGGGCACAGGGAGGGGGGCTGGTGCTGGTGGCAGCAGCACTGGGCCATGTGGAAGGCGCTCAGATGCATCGACACAGCTCTGGTATTAGAAGTTTAAGTAACTTTTAACCTGGTGCCATGAGCAGATTGTCTGATTCGGGCTTCCTGACAGGGAGACTGAAAATATTGGGAAGTGCTGCCGTCAGGTCTGAGACACAGTGTCGCAAGCTGAGGCGCCTCAGCCTTGGCAGTGAGGGGTTTGCGAAGGAAGAAGCTCGTCAGAAACCAGAGCAGGGCTAGGGAAGTGCTGAGCTCAGAGATTCAGGGTGCGGGGTCACGGTCACCCCAGGGAGGCTCCCTCGGAGGCGGCGTGGGGAGAAAGAATGTGCAGTTGAGGATGATACCGGTCCAAAGGCACATGGTGTCCCTGGGCGCTGGCACAGGGCAGTGACCGTGCTGTGGATGCTCCGGTGAGTCTGGGCTAGCAGTGGTGGCCTGGAGCCCACGCATGTGGCACATGGGACGTCAGTGGGATGGAGGGTAATGCTTGGGGCAGGGGGGGATGTGACAACCCCACAGGTTCCTGTCCCCAGCACCCCAGGGTGGGAGGTGGGGATGACACAAGAACTGAGCCTGCGGGTGCTGCTGCCACCTCCCTTGGGGACTGCGCTCTGTAGGGATGGTGTTTTGGTGTCCTTGCGGGCGACCTTGGTGCAACGTGTGGAACTCTTTGGCAGAGGTGGGAGACACAGGCATAGGAGGAGAGCTGGGAGCACTGCTGGAGAAGCAGGTGACCTTGGCAACTGGAGGGAACAGGAATGGCATACCTTGTCATTGTGAGCCAGGAGGTCACGCACCAGGGAGCACTAGGAATGTTCTGGGAGCAAGGGGGGGCATGTGGCCGCCCTGTGGTTGAGCCTCAGATGTTGTTGGGGAGGGAGTGCCTGGCTCCCCGGGGTGACAGGGAGGTGTAGACATCATGGTGTGCAGGAGGGTGTGCCAACTCCAGGCCCTGCCCTGGAATGATGGATCCAGCGCAGAGTGGGCTGCAGGGATTGCTAGGAGTTGGTTTATGTTTGGGGCTGGCCCGGTATGGCAGAACAACCTGCGGGGCTCCAGGTCTGCATGGAGCCCGTGCCTTGGGGCACAGCAGAGCTGCCCAGCCAGGGAAGGGCCCAGAATGGGTACCCACACCAGCCTGGCTGAGGTAGAGCAGAGTGAAATGGGACATGGGGGGGCATCAGGGCCAGGGCCGGTGGGAGCAGCACTGGAACTGGTCTGGGGGCTGTGCTGGTCCTCACTGCACAGCTCTCATGGGTGGTGCCCAGCTCCCCGCTGCAGCCGCTGCCCAGCGGGGCGATGCCCTGGCCCTCGCATTCCTTGCATGCCGTCAGTGCCACTTGGCCCCTGCGCAGGGCTGGGGACTGTTCATCAGCCCAGTTCCTCTGGGCAGCTGGCAGCTCCACGCTCTGGTTCCATCCAGGCCCAGGACTGCCAGCCGAGAGCAGAGACTGTGCCAGGAGCACGTCAGGGCTGATTCCCAGGGCCACACGTGCTGACCTGACCATATCTCTGCTCAGTGCCCAGTGACCTGACCCCAGAGGAGTGCCAGGAGCTGGAGAACATCCGCCGCCGCAAGCAGGAGCTGCTGGCTGACATACAGGTCTGATGCTGAGGGGTGACACCCACACAATTCCTCTGTCTCACAGAACAGACTGAGAGGCAGAGGACCATCTCCCTGCTCATGTCACTGGCAGGGTCCCTGCAGCCCCATCCAGGGTCCCTCAACCCACTGCCCCACAGCACTGCCTCCAAGGGGCCCTGGGGACAGGGAGAGGGTCCCATCAGGGGCGTGATCCTGGGTGGCAGCCATTAGGGTTGCTCTGCTCTGCCGAGGCAGCCGTGGCTTTTCCTGTGCCCTGCAGAGCTCCAGGCCGTGCAGTTGTGCCGTGCCCCAGAGCACTGGTGTCCGTGCCAGCCCCTGCCTGGCACGGGCAGGGACCGTGTCTCTGGGCCAGACCACTGCCCTGGCAAGCGCCTGCGAGGTCAGGGCTCATCTGGGACACTGTCAGTCCTGTCCCCGATTAAGACAGCAGAGGCTAATTACTGCCATATGCTGGGCATGATCTGAAGGGATTAGGGGTAATTTTGTTAACCTCTGAATCTCTTCCTTCCTGTGTGCTGAGAGCGTTGTGATGCTGCAGGGATTAGCAGCGGGATGGGGGGGGGGCCAGCCACCCGTGCCCCCTGATCTGGTTCAGCCCCAGGGCAGTGCTTGAGGGCGGGAGGGGGATGGAGAGAAGAAAGAAAGGAGGGTCTGCAGGGCTTCCTGGAGGAATGAGGCTGCCTCCAGGGCTGAGGGCTGGAGGGTTTGGGGTGGAGGCCCCTCCAATGTGCCCTCTCCCCACAGCGCCTGAAGGATGAGATAGCAGAAGTGACAAATGAGATCGAGAACCTGGGCTCCACCGAGGAGAGGTGAGTCCCAGCCCAGGGCCCCGCTGAGCCCCCTGTGGGATCTGAGGGCAACTGAGCCCTGGCCCATGAGTACTGGTGTGGGCAGCTTTCCCAGGCACTCTGGGCTCCTGGGAGCGGGATCCCAGGCTCAACTGCTGCTCCCAGGTCTGTTTTCCTAAGCCCCAGCCCCTCTGTCTGGACACAGCCACTGTGGGCTTTGTTATTCTGAGCTGGTGCAGGCGGTGCCAGCCGGGATTAGGGGTCCCAGCAGCTGGCGGGAGTGACTCCCAGCGCCGTCCCCAATCACCCACTGGGGCATGAAGGCTGTCCCCTCCCGCCAGCCCCTCTGCTCTCCCAGAGCCCGCCGGCTTACCCGAGCCTCCCCATGCACGGCTGACCTGACAGGTGTCGTACCTGCACCCCCTCCGTTCAGGGTGACCCCCAGAGTGGGTATGGCAGCTCCGCTCTGCTCTGGGGCCCGGCAGGCCAAGAGCAGCCCTGGGGGGCAGACACGGAGCAGTGTGTCGGCTTTGCCCCACGGGGGGCCGGCGTGGGGGCCTGGCTGCCGCCGTTCCGGCTGACCCTCGCGGCAGTGCACTGCGCCGGGGGCCGCGCAGAGGCAGCAGGTCCCGCCTGGATGCTCAGAGCTGCTTCATGTCTTGCAGGAAAAACATGCAGAGGAACAAACAGGTGGCAATGGGCAGGAAGAAATTCAACATGGATCCCAAGAAGGTACTGTGGAGTGGGAAGCAGGGCTGGTCACCAGCCTCTTGTGCTGGGCTCTGCCACCTCCCAGTCTGGATGCCTGAGCCAGGGCAGAGCCTGTGGGCAGGGGCTGGGGTCAGCAGACAGGCTGGCAGAGGCAGCAGCAGACCTCTGAGTAGCCCCTCTTGCACTGCTCCAGGGCATCCAGTTCCTAATTGAGAATGACCTGCTGAAGAACACGTGCGAGGACATCGCTCAGTTCCTGTATAAGGGAGAAGGCCTCAACAAGACGGCCATCGGCGACTACCTGGGCGAGAGGTGTGCTGGCCTCGGGTCTCCTGGGGATGTTCTGGGCTCCTGCCGCCTGAGAGATGGGACACTGCAGCTCTGAGCTCACAGGGCAGCCAAGTGGGGGTACCCGGTGTGCTGGGGGCAGTTGGGGGTGTTCAGTCCATGGCTGGCGCTTGCGAGCGGCTGGTGTGTGCAGATGAGCCCAGTACATGAGCTGGGGGTAGCTGCAGCTTTCCCCCATGAACGAGCAGAGTTTGGAGCAGGGCAGGGACAGTGGGGCTGCTCAGCAGTCACAGGATTGCTGATCATGCACCCCTCGTGCTCTGGCTTTGTTCCCGCAGGGATGAGTTCAACATCCAAGTCCTGCATGCCTTTGTGGAGCTGCACGAGTTCACCGACCTCAACCTTGTGCAGGCCCTGCGGTGAGCGAGGGGCCAGGAGCTGAGTGTGGCCATCTGGGGGATGGCGGGGGACCATGATGGGCCAAGGGACCGTGGAGCCCCCAGATCAGTGCCACAACTTGCTCTCCACAGGCAGTTCCTGTGGAGTTTCCGGCTGCCCGGGGAGGCGCAGAAGATCGACCGGATGATGGAGGCCTTTGCGCAGCGGTACTGCCAGTGCAACCCCGGCGTCTTCCAGTCCACAGGTGAGCACCTGCCCCAGACCCTCTCCCTGGCATCCTGCCCCCCAGCTGACTTTCCCTTCTGCCCCTACAGACACGTGCTATGTGCTGTCCTTTGCCATCATCATGCTGAACACGAGCCTGCACAACCCCAATGTGAAGGACAAGCCCACAGCAGAGCGATTCATTGCCATGAACCGCGGCATCAACGACGGGGGAGACCTGCCCGAGGAGCTGCTCCGGGTGAGGGCCAGGGCCTGGAGGGGCCAGGGCCAGGCTGCAGAGCTGGCCTGGAGCAGGGCCTGCCGCAGGGCTCCAGGGCAGAGCAGAGCTGACACCGTGTGTCGTTGTACCAGAATCTCTATGAGAGCATCAAGAATGAGCCCTTCAAAATCCCTGAGGATGATGGCAACGACCTCACCCACACCTTCTTCAACCCCGACCGGGAGGGCTGGCTCCTGAAGCTTGGTGAGTGCTGGTGGCCAGGGAGGGCAGGCTGTCCCCAGGGACAGACCTGGGATGTGGGTGCAATGCCTCTGGGCTTCCCACACTACTTCTGCTGCCCTGGCTCTTTGGAGCTTGAGTGGGCTGCAGAGAGAGTCACAGCCCCCTCAGGAAAGGCATCCATACATCCAGCAGCCCTCCATCTTCCCTTGGCTGGGCAGCAGGAGTGAACTCAGAGCTGAGGAGGCCCTGCAGAGTGGCTGGGTGGGCATCCCAGGGGATTCTGCCTCTAGGTTGGGCAAGCCCCCGAGGTGCAGAACTGGTACCAAGGTCCAATGTCGGAGCACAGAGACCTTGAGGCCCTTCAGGTCACCGAGTCACAGCACGGTGTGTCGGAACAGGCCCCTGGGAGTGAGCAGCGAGCTGCCCCAGGCTGCGTGTGTCCCCCCTCCATGCCACAGACAAGCCCCTGCCTTACCTTCCCACAGCATTATCACCTCTGCATCCCAGCTCCACATGCAGGCAGCGTGCATGGCATCCCTGCTGCACCGCCCGGCTCCTGCAGCCGGAGCCCTCCGCGCCCTGGCTCCTGTGGCTTCTCTTCTCAGCACCTCTGGGGAATCCTCTGCATGGGTCCAGTGGGGGGGGATGGATGCTGGCAGGATCGGAGTCCAGTGGGGCCTTTCCCTGGGGTTCTGGCTGGGGTCAGGATTCCTGATGTATGGCCATCCCCTCGGGAGGGGGAGAGGCCTTATCCCTGGCTCAGGGGATGAGCAAGAGCCACCTGCTCCCCACCCTGAGGTGGGGGGGACTCAGGGAACAGCTCCAGGCTCTCCTGTCTCTGACAAGGCCAGCGCCCAGCAGGTGGAGGGGCCTGGTGCACAAAGGTTCATGTTGGCACTGCCACTATCGGTGGACAGGCGGGCAGAGAGGCAACAGAGTGGCCGTGGACCCCAACTCGCTTGTAGGGAAGGGAGAGACCCCGTGGGTCAACTATGGGGTGGAGGGAGCCAGGCCCTGTGCCCAGCAGCTGAGGAGCCCCATCCCACAGAGCCACAGTGAGCCAGGGCAGTCAGCCCCCACGGCCATGCCGCCAGCCTGACCCCTCACAGCTTCCCTGCTGCAACCTGGCCCCACTGACCCGCAGGGCAAGGGGGGGCTTTGGGATTCCTCTTTTTATTTTTTTCCCTTTTTTTTTTTAATTTTCTTTTCTCCCTCATTTGTATGTTTCCATGATTTTGGCTCTTCCTTTCCCTGCCCCCCAACTCCAGGAGGTACGTACCCCTCTCCCGTGCTCTGCTCACACTGCTGGGGCTTCGTTTCCTTTGCGTTTTTAATTGCTGGTGATGAGTCTCATTGCTGCTGCTGCTGCTGCTAACCCCGCACCGCCCGGGGACCTCGCCTGCCGCGGGACAGCACTGCTCCGCCACCAGGCAGGGACTTGGGGTGTGGCCCCACCGATACCACACTCTCCTCAAGGCCTGTGGCCTCCTCCACCGCCCTGGGGGAGGACAGGGCTGCAGCGGCTCCTTGCCCAGCTGCTGGCCGGGGTGTCCCGCCCGGCCGTGCTTCGCCGTGTCCGCAGGCGGCTCAGCCCGGTCAGTGTGTCTTCGCCTCAGGTGCCACGAGGGATGGGAATGGGTTTGGTGTGTCCTCAGCAAGGACTGTGCGCGGGGTGCTCAGGGGTGCCAAGTGCCTGGGGCTGGATGGAAGCAGGCAAGAGCCACCTGCATGGTGCCCTGTGCTGTGCCAAGGGCTCACAGCAGTTCCTATGCGAGCACCACACCGGTGCTGCCCCGGCTCCAGCACCTGCACCCCAGCATTGGTGCGGGCTCGGAACTACTGTGGGGCAGGGACTGGGGCGGGCACCCAGCTGGCATGGGGGAACAGGGGACACAGTGCACACCGTGGCTCCCTGTGTCCATGGCAGAGCCAGTCCTCAGGGGTGGGTGCTCATCCCACATCTAGCACTGTTGCAGTGGCCGCGGTGGAGGGGAGCCGAGCCCAGGGGTGAGTGGCCCCTGTGCCCATGGAGTGGCTTCTCCCACTGTGCTGGGCTGCAGAGCTCAACCGTGGCTCAGCACTGGGACGAGGGGGGACTGTGGTCAGTGTGGACAGAAAGTCCCCGTGTCCCCTGGGGAGCTGCCTGGCTGCAGTATCCTCTAGCTGTGCTGAATTCGTGTTTGGGTGGGAACGGGCTCAGCACTCCCGGCCCGGCACCCCAGCCTCGCCTCCATCCTCATCTGTCTGCTTCCCGCTCCGGCTCGGTGCAGTGTGTGCTGCCTGCTGCTGCTGCCCGCCGCTGCCTGGCTCTGCTTGGCTCTGTGTGTCCGCCCGGGCCCTGTGCTGCTGGAGCCCGTGTGTGTCCGCCTGGCTCCCGCTCTGCCATGTGCCATGTGCCCAGCTGTGCCTGCAGGGCTGTGCCCGACTGTCCCTCTCTGCTCCCAGGAGGCAGGGTGAAGACATGGAAGCGGCGCTGGTTCATCTTGACCGACAACTGCCTTTACTACTTCGAGTATACAACGGTGAGTGGGCTCTGCGTGGGCCAAGCCAAGCTGGGGCAGGGAAGGGGCTGGATTGGGAGTGTCCATCCCACAGCTAAACCTCTGCTTGGCCATGCCAGGATAAGGAGCCCCGTGGCATCATACCCCTGGAGAACCTGAGCATCCGTGAGGTGGAGGACTCAAAGAAGCCCGTGAGTGCTGCAGCAGTGTCCTATGGGGCTTGGGGGTAGCCTTGGTGCTTTAGCTTGGGCAGGGAAAGCTGGGAGATGTTACAGCCCCCCAGGATGCCCCTAGGAGAGGCGGGGGGCCTCCGCAGCAGTCACTGCCTCCACCATCACAGCGGCCAGGTGCAGTCACTGCAGTGACCAGGACTGGTGGCAGAGCTTGTGCAGGGCCATGGGGTGATGAGCACGGCGTGTTCATCCCTCTGCCACGCTGGGGTGGTTGTACTGGGGGAGCATGACTCTGCCTCATCCCTCCCAGCTTGGGGTCCCCTTTGGAAGGGGAGGGGGCTACCTCTGAGCGGTCTTTCCCTCCCAGAACTGCTTTGAGCTCTACATCCCTGACAACAAGGACCAGGTGATCAAGGCCTGCAAGACAGAGGCGGATGGGCGTGTGGTGGAGGGGAACCACACTGTGTACCGCATCTCTGCCCCCACACCTGAGGAGAAGGAGGAGTGGATCAAGTGCATCAAGTGAGTGCCCAGAGGAGTGTGTGGGGGCACGGTGCTGGGCAGGGGCACGGCGGGGACTTATCTGCTGCCCTTGAAGGGGACAGTGCTTCCCAGGGCACCCTGCAAGAACAGGGGGAGTGAACTTTCCCAGGACATAAAGGGACATGCCCAAGGCCCGACCAGGCAGGTCTCACCCAGCCCTGCAGTAGTTTGGCCTGACCTAGCCTTTGTTCCCCTGCCAGGGCAGCCATCAGCCGGGACCCCTTCTACGAGATGCTGGCTGCCAGGAAGAAGAAGGTCTCCTCCACCAAGAGGCACTAGCAGCCAGACTGGCCTTGTGAGGCCAGCATGCCCTCGGCAGCCCAAGCATCCCCCTGTCCCGGGGGTCTGTGGGGCGGGGGCTGCACTGCAGCCTGGCCCTAGGGTCCAGGGGCCAGCTTCAGCTTCACTGTTTCTTTTCCATGGGGGGAGGGAGGGGGCACAGGCATCTTGGTGCCTCTGGCCCTCCATCACTGCCTCATCTCCAAGACAGTGTCTTCATGGGCTCAAGCTGGGACACAGCACCCCTGGGAGCTCCAGCCTCAGCACCACAGGCACCCTCCCTGCTCCTGACCCCCAGCAGCCCTGCGGCTGCACATGGCGCTGCAGCCCCCCAGCACCTGTGTCCAGACACTTGGAGTGTCCCGTCAGGAGGATGAGCAGCTGTTAGTGAGTAGCTGGCAGTTTTGGGGTGCCACAGGTGCTGGGGTGCAAGGCATCAGGCCCAGGGAGGCCCTACAGAGACACAGCTCCCGGCCCTCGTTGTAGCGGGCCTGGGTCTGTCCTGGGTGTCCCCACGCTGCTGCCTCAGACCCTCACAGCTGCCCCCTGCACCAGGAGCGGTCCCCGTGTGCACAGGAGTGCCGAAGGGCAGGGACTGTCACCATCACGGTCTGCAGTGGTGCCACACAGGGCACAGACATGCCCTCGTCCAGCCATGGAGGCTGTGGCTTGGATGAGGTGGCACTGGGTGGCATTGCCCCTGGCACATCCTTGCAGCACAGTCCTCTCGTGCCAGGGTGGCATGGTGCCATGGTGGGACATGCCCAGAGCTGGAGCCTGCCCTGAGAATGGCTGTGGTGGGGGTCTGGATGGGTGGGGGCTGCATCCCCCACTCTCTGCCTCACAGTCCGCCCATGTCATGTCCTGTCCCTGTCCCCGCGCATGGTCTGGAGACGCCTGGATCAGTATTAGTCTATTTATCAGAGGTGTAAATACTCCTGTATAGTTTTCTCCTTGTAGATTATTTTGTATGTGGGTGGTTCAGTGCAGAGGCCTCGTGGGGCGGGGGGGCAGGATTTTTTATTCTAACATTTTATTTTTTTTTGCCATGGCCTTGTAAACTAGTGCTGAGGATTGGCAGCAAATAAACACTGCACTGCGCTCCACTTGGCCTCCTGTGCTCTGTGTGCAGCTCGGCGTGGGCAGGAGTCCCGTGCCCCCCATCACTGCCAGCTCCTGCCCTGTGCCTGGCCTTGAACCAGGCTCATGCTCCTCTCAGCCCGAGGTCTCCTTACTGGCACCACAGCGATGCCATATTGGATGAAGTGGCAGCACTGGGGCCAGTGCAGGTCTTGTTTTGAGCCTCTGCCTGCTCCACTTCAAAGCCCCATGTTTTCTTGGTGTACTGGGGGTGTTTGTGAGCCTTGTGCCCTCACCAGCTGCCCCTGTCCAGGACAGTGCCTTGGGGACCTTGCCACAGGGCATGGGTGGCTGGGCTGGGCTGGGACAACTCCTGCAATGGACAACTCCTGGGCTGGGACAACTCCTGGGACCACTCGTTCTGCAGTGGGGCTGGGGGATTCATACCCAGGTGGTACCAGCTGTGAATGGGATCAAAGCCAAGTTGGGGACAAGGGCAAGCCGGGAGCGCAGAGCCTGTGCCAGCCCTGCTGCTGCCACCAGGGCGGGGGGGCTGGTCCAGCCTTGCACACTTGTGCCATGGTGGGGGTCTGCCAGAGGCAAGGGCATTCCCTGACAGAGCCAGGGGCATTCCCTGCTGTGGTCTCTGCCCTCCCTGTGCCTCAGATGGGGCAGCCCTTGGCACTGTGGCCTGACTCGGGCCAGGGTGGCCACCAGCCCCTGCTGAGGGACGAGGACGTGGTGGGGCAGAGGGCAGCCCTGCAGTTGGGCTGGTGCCAGTGCCGGTTGGGCTGGTGCTGGGGTCAGTTGGGGCGCAGACTGTGTCGGTTGAACCGCAGATGGGGTCAGTTGGGGTGCA